GGGGAATATGAGCGGGGTGGGCCCTGCGGGGAAAAAAAAAGGCGTGCGCTGTCCCCCCCCCCCCCCCCCCCCCCCGAAAAACACTGGCCTGTAAGATCAAAGGAACTCTAAAGAGACCGTTTCCAATTATGCTGAAACTCAATTCTTTTTTTAATCTTTTGGCCAAAAGGATTTACACCGCATTTCTTCCCACGACCAGACGCCGGTATGACATCACCGGGTTGTTTGATAAACATGACATGTGTTGTACCATCTGTAGAATTAGAAAAAAGAGACATGTACCAGCTGATGTCTGCTTGAACTTCTCACTCTTCTTCTTCCTCCATTTCCAGGGCTTAAGGAGGCGTCCCAGAGTGGCAAATTTGCTCCGGCGACGGATGGGCGGAGTGTGGGTGCCGGAGAGCAAAGACTCTGAACGCATGGCGGCCAGCCTCTCTACTTCCTCAGCTGTAAGGGAATACAAAAAACAAGACAAACAGGGTCTATGTTAGGATGCAGAGGAGGTGATATTCTGGTACTCATGCGGGAGAGATAGCAGTAAACGCAGCAGACACTTTTGCTCACAGAGTTCCAAGCAGTTAGGAGCCCGTGCCAAGTGGCCCCCTGAGTCCCCTCGTGACTGGACGAGGTTTGGAGAGGATAAACAAACCTGCGGATCACATAGCATTAGCTCCGAGCCTAAACAGTTTGAGGCTGCATCGCACCGAGCGCCAGGCAGGCCACACACACACACACACACAAAAAAGGAAATCTTTCTGCTCCTCATTAAATATTCACAAGGCCCCAGCTCGTTAAGACTTTTACATACCGTTGGGTATCAAAAGAGTTTCATTCTAACACGAGTTATTAAATGAAAACGTGAAAAAGGCATGTCGTGTTTGGAGAGATGCTGCGATCCAGGAGTACAAAACAAGCGGGACTCAAGCGGGACTCACTGGGAACGGATCTAAAAATAGAGCAATGCTAGCAGCAAACAAACCACGGTGGGCCTTTAGAAATGGACGCGTCGCAGACATTTAAGGTGTATAAAAAGGAAGTAGCATGCACCGACAGTCAAACAGCTGAATGCGACCATCTTGCAGGAACAGAAGACCGGCAAAGCATTCACTAAAACTTCATTATTATAAACGGCACTCGCAAGATCATACAAAAGGCTTCGGTCAACTCGGAGAGTCTTAATAATTGCTGCTTTTTGGAGTTTGCCTCACTTGCATCATCTTTTTGCAACCTTAGCACAGTGTTGCACTGCCAGGCGCCAAGATTTCCCACCTTGTGAGAGCAACGATTACCCAAATTGAATAGTGATGAAAGCAGACACTTTGAGTCAGACAGGTTTGAGTCTGTGCAGAATGCGCGGACACAACTGGGTGACTATAACGGAAAAGAAGTATTCCAAAAAGGGCCACGTTCTCATGCCTGGGTCTGGAGTCCAGATTGTGTCAGATCATCACCCATGACATGCTGTCAGGGAACTCGGTTGTTTTTTTTGTCAAACATTACATCACATTCGTGGCGTTTGCCAACACGGACGTGTCACTTTTGCAGGTCGATGACAGCAGCAGGGTAAACAATGTGACAGTAACGCAGTGGAAATCAGCCCCGCGGACGCTCTGGTGCCTCGGAGCCAACACGTCTCGGCACCATGCCGCTCCATAAACAGCTCTATACAGACAGTGCTGATTAAATCCAGCGGAGAGCTAAATTACTTCATTAGGAGGTCCAAAAGCTCGAGGAAGACAAAATCAAAGCCGAGTGACATCCAACAAAGCGAGCAGCAACCAGCTCTATGATAATAACACACTTTTATGAACCGCAATAAAATAAAATTACAACAAACACTTCTTTTTGGGCCTCCACGCCTTAACGCAATGCACATCATATTTGGTGCATTCTGGGTAGCTGAACCATCTGCGTATTCTCTATACGCAGATGTAGCCAACACGGTCGCCCGCGGGGACCACGTGAGTCGCCCGCAGGACATGTTCTAAAAATAGCACTAGTCATTATGGAGCTCCGTCTAAAATTGTAGTTGCTGTTCTTTTTTTAAATCCTCGGAACAGGCCGCGTTTAAATAGGTATGTGTAGCTATACCATCATTGTTGTGGAAATCATTCTTAATAATTATTGTGAGGAATAATTAACCGACATGTGATCAAACAGTCTCTTCACATATATTATTATTAAAAGGTGATCTGTGCAATTTTGTTATTCAGGAAGTTTGTATCAAATAAGTAGCCCTTCGTACTACTCGGTACCCTTGAAGTAGCTCTCAGTTTAAAAAAAAGGTTGGTGACCCCTGCTCTATAGTCTGTGTCGGTGCCGTGTGTTTACTCCCCCCATCTTTCTTTTACTGGACCATATCCAGGCACAGAAACACACCCACACAACCAAGAATGTCTACAACTCAATTGCAAGGTGATGTAATCAATCACAGTCTTGACACAATCCTGACAGAGGGGAGAGCAGCTCAATCTGCAAAGTAAAATGGGGGGGGGGGGGGGGGGGGAGAAAGCTCTTCCAAGTATCCATGGTGATTAAAAAAATGCTTTCGTGACATCCAGCCCAGTTGCATACAACCTGCATTCTCCACCACTGGAACACTAACACACCGGTGTGGCTGCTTGTCATTTATAAAAAACAACACTTGTTTGCATATCAAGATGGCTGAGTGATGATGTAATGACACTGACCTGGAAATGGCTTTGTGCACACAGCCTGCACAGCTTCATGTCATTTTAAATCACACATAAATACATTAAAGAAATACTGTAGCTTCCATAATAAGCTACATAATAAATAGATTATTGTGTGTGATGCAAACCAACCAGCAGCAATTCAATCAGAGCCCAACCCCTGCAAGAAGTTCTGATCCAGTCAGAAGCAGTTCCCACAAACGGCAACAATGAATCAGTCGCGTTGCGTCTAAAAGGCACATGACTCACTTGAAACCGTAACTAGCAGACACATCATGCAGACGCAAAGCACTGAGCGATATGGAGCCCGGTGGGGCCCATCGGCAAATCATGAGCACGGCAGCACCGCGGGATGACGCCACGGCCCCGGTGCTCGAGCCTCTTTACTCACCGTCCTGCGTGTCGTTCCCGCGACTGCAATTGCTGCAAATGTGCTTGATCTCCTTCCCGATGTGGCAGTGGATGGCGAAGGGCATGTTGTTGTTGTGGTGCTGGTGGTGGTGGTGCTGCTGCTGCTGGTGGTGGTAGGTGTTGTGGTAGTTGTGGCTTTGCGGATGCTGGCCGTGTCCTTTCTTGTTGCCGAGGGACATGATTTTGACCAGGCTGAACGCCGCCTTCTTCTTCTTCGGCTTCTCCACCGCCACGGGCGTTGCTCGGCACCCCGTGGCAAACCAAGTGCCGTGCATGATGGTGGGCGCGGGGTCCACCGTCGGGTAATTGGCCGTCTTGAACATCGGGGTGGTGGGGAAGGGGGCGCGAGAGCAGAGCAGTGCTTCTGTGTGAACGACGGCGTGGCTTCAATTTAAATAAAAAATTAAAAAAGGCCCATCAATTGAGTCGTACCTGACCTGCAGTAGCGGCTTCCATCGAGCCGAAAAAAAGCCAACAGCCGCTCGTCTCTGCCGTGTCGCCCCCACACACCTTTACCTGAGATCCCGGTAACGTGCAGCTGCTCGGCGGCGCAATGCTAAAGTCGCTGCTGCTGCTGAGAAAGACAAAAAAAAGAAGAAAGAAGCTCTGCTGCCGGATCCAAGCGAGCTAATAATAAACCGGAGAGTGAGTAGTGAGCGGCAGCGACTACCTCTCCCTCCCTGAGCTGCAGACTGCAGTCGTTTGTAGCTAATCCGCGATTAGTGGAGCCGAGCAGGGAGGGCCTGTGATTGGCTGCCCGGTGCGCTCCTCTAATAGGCCGGCGTTGACGGAGGAAAAATTGCCCGTCTGATAATAGGATCCCAGTCTCTGTTCTTTTTTAACAAGTTACATTACATGACAAACCATTTTCTGTATTTTTAAAAACAATAATAACCACTACGACGTAATACATTTCATGAGCATGATATTTGCACAAAAACAGTGAGTTAGGATGTGCTTTTTATCTAACCAACATATTATTATTTAGTCAGAGGAGTTAATTAATCTGAGAGACAGAGTCTAGTTAATCATTTATTTTAAAAGGGAATATAGCCAAACATTAGAGGATGAAAACGCTGCTGAACCAGATTCAATTAATATATTAACCAATTTCCTGCATTTCTGCATTTTACTACTGTATTTTATTTCTTAGACTGTTTTTTAGTGTTTTAATGACTGTTTTTATTGTTTCAATGAATGTTCTTAATTGTTTTTAAATCTCCTTTTCTTTTGCCTTATGTGTTGATGCTTTTAATGGCTTTACGTGGAGCACTTTGAATTACCTTGTTGTTGAAATGTGCTATACAAATAAACTTGCCTTGCCTTGCTGATGCTGTTATTGATTCCTTTAGACAGACAGGTCATTATTGAGTCTTGCAGACTATAGCAAGTACAGGTACTATGAAATCACTCGCTGTTTAATTTTGTGTGTGAAATACGAGCATGTGAAACAGTTGCAGTTCAAAAACTGATTACAAAGGACAAAAAGATGAAGGGAGATTTAGAAAGTCAGTTTCAAAGTAGCTTGAGACGTGAATGCAAAAAAACGACAGCGTCTGTCCAATAACAGCAGACGAGAGCTCAAAGAATTCAAATCAAAGAGAAAGAAATGCAGCAAAGGGGCTGTAATCAGCGATCAAGAGAGCTCAGCACTTCAAATGAGTAACAGCAATTAAATATTCTTTCTTCACATCACAAATTCCAAACAGCAGCCAAACACCAGTCGATCCCCGGAGCTATACTGAGCACATTTTTGTCGGTAGCTGATAACATTAATGGACAGTTATCGAGCAGTGAACAGTGGCGGGCTGCAGCTCACTTCAGTGACATCAAAGCCGTCTCTGAAATGATGGACGGAGGCCCTTGTTCTCACTCCCACCACGGTGCAACGCAGCAGCTGCTTCTCCTCGGTGCAAAGTTGACCTCTCTAATTCCAAAGTTAAGGAAACTGGCAAGAATGGGGATTTTTTCTTTTTTTGGGGTTATGTCTGAAACATGATATTTTGCAGCAAAGAGTCAGAGGTCAACGTACTTAGGACTGTTTGTGAGTGAGAGGGTATAAGAGGCTTTAAACACTCAAGAAACACATGTTGCTGTCTCACTGCACTGCTAGTTTCATAAACAAGGACATCGTTAATCTTCCTCTCCCTGTTTACTCCCCTCGGTGAACATTATCCTGCCTACAGACCTTGGATTATCTTAAAATGCAGGCATCGGTCTCAAAAGTATACGTTGACTTGCACGGGTCTACATCCTGTTAAGTTTGGGGCCCACTTTGGCCTCAATTTCCTGTTAGATCATTCTTACAAGAATCAAATAATTGAAGCCACAAGACAGGTCATTTAGCAATGTGGCTCTGAAACTTGTGCGTCACGCAGCACTAATCAGTGCTACAGCATATCACTTGGCTTAATTCACGAGAGAAGAAGGAGAGAACATGACCTAGAACTTCAGTAACAAAATAAAACTTTATCTTTGAACCGATTGTTTTTGTTTTACTTTGAAATCTTTCTATTCCTTGTGTCTGCTCTCTCACTGTCATTATCTGTCTCACTGTGCCGGTAGTACTTCTATTTGAATGGCGAGGAGATCTGATTCTAGACATATGATGTTAGGCTTGTTGTATTCTGCGCTACATCATTAGTACTATCCCATTATGTATCAAATCGCAACACACTTTGCTTTTATTTTACTCTGATTTATTAATGCTATTTCCTTTGGGTTCTTGTGACCCCTGCTGTCCATGGAGGGAGGATCTATTTTTCCTTTTGTCTTGTTTTTGTTTTGTTTTTTAGGTGTAAATGGGCTGGCTCAGGAACTGTTACTGATGTAGGCCCATTCAGTACATTATGTGACATTGTTCAGTATTAAATAAAGAAAAACTACTTTCAGAAATATTGTCCTGAAATTGGTGCTGTTGACCTATTTGGATATACACTAGAATCTAAGTAGTACATAGTAGTGCGAACAAACAGTTAACGTAAGGTCAGACCTGGTCAGATACAATTTGCAAATAGCTTCCACTTCTGTCCTGATCACAGTAATCATAACTGATCTAATCAAAGAAATCATTTGATTAGAATCTCTGGAGTGTTTCTGTGTTGTGTGGTGGTTTTATGTTTGTGTGTGTGCGACACTAATTCAGCATTAGAACTCTGGGATCTTCAGTGCCGGCCTTCACAAACGAAGTCTACTTTTCATGCGGTTGAAAACATACCTGACACGTGTCCCAAACTGTCACAGTAAACTTAATCTGACGCGGTAAACTCGCCCCAAAACTGCTAAGAAGTATTTGCCAATCCTCCCTGACTCACATCTGATGGACATGTTGGCTCACCGTGTTGTTGCCATGAAGCCTCAGGGAATGGTAGTTCTTACGCACCACTGAAAGAAAAAATCAAGGAAAAAAGGCTTCCACTACACTTAACAATAAAATAAGCTCTAAAAATGGGGGACATTTTACTCGAAAGAGACTTCTTTCATACTTCTGATTCCGGTTGGAGCTGGTTTCCATGGATGGTGTGCAGGTTTTAGGCAAAACTTCCGACCGAGCAGCCTGTCACTACAAATCTGCTGTTCATGTTCTCCCTGCATCTATCCGTCTCTTCCCATCTGTCATTCTCTCTCTGCATTATTATCTGTCCTAGTCTCTCAGAGTTACACACACACACACACACACACACACACACACACACACACAGTAGCACATTTCCTTGACACAATCTCAAAGAGAATTAAGGAGATGGCAAAAGTGTGTTGCCTTTTTTCCACTTTTCTGTATAGGGGAAGGTGAATGATGACTTCGGCAATTATAATCTGCAGAGAGGGTTTTCATGCGCTTCTTGCCCACCCTCTCCAGCATTAAGCTCAATCGTCTCCCCCTCCCCGAGAGGCAGCAGAGTAATAACGCGTCACGATTATGTAAAGTCAACAGACTGCAACACTTCAGGAGAGAAACAGTGATGTATTAGTTTTTAGTGAAAAGAAAAATCAAACACGAACACAGAGCAGGAGACAGGCAAACGTCAAACAGAGACGACTTTCCCTCTTGACATTAATAATCACTGCGGATATAATTGTATATATAGATGAAGACTGTGAACAGATGAGTGCTCACTTTTGATCTCCGTTATAATTCACTCTCGCCTGTCTGTTCCTCCCCTCCTCCTTCATGCCTGGCCCTGTCTCACTATGTTTGACAAGTTTTGAACGCCAAGGTGATAACACAACATATCAAGTGCTTTTGATATTTCACGTGACAAGTATATCTACCTTATCGGGAATTGTGACCGAAAAATGACACAAAGAAACTTCAGGAGCTGTTGGAGTCTTTTGATCATTTCCAATGTGGTTTCCAACAACCAGTACCAAACATTTGTGTGTGTGGTATGTTTTGGTCATATAGGGGATCTCTTATGTTATTTCTAAAACATCTTGAAATAAATAAAAATGCAAAGGCACATTCCTACTATTTTTGCAATTCTTCTTTTTAAGATGGTAAGGTAAGACAATTGACTGAGGTAAATTGGACAAAAGTTTTCATATAATTCATGTAGTTCTATAAAAAAGGATATTTTACAAAAACTACAAAGGTCCATAAAGACCATAATGTAATCGCCAGCATGACAGTATAGGCTAAGCATAAACCGTTGTTACATTACATGCAGCGACCATTTATTCCGCACGGTCCTCGTGTAATAAATTGCTGCAAAAAAAATCCCAAAAGCCCCAAAAGAAAAGCACAGTGATTGTTGTTGCACTGCAAGCTGGCAGTGCTTGTTACAATGTCGCCATCTAGTGGGACAATATGGTAGCAATCTATTTCACATCACGTTTGTACGTAACGACGTAATGCGTGCACTTCCCAAAGCCGACTTCCGGTCAGATGGCTGCGATGTTAGCAAACAACCATCTTCATTGCCACAATGAGCAAGCTATTAACGGACCATGGTGAGTGTTCGACACTCGACTAAACCTATCATCAATACAGTTCACCACGTCAACGATAGATGGAAACAATATGTTAGAAAGTGATGTCACAGGGCGCATGTTAACGGAAACAGTGCGGCGTTTTAGTACCTCACTAAAAGTGTGTAACGTGTGCGGTTTATTTTTTCTCCGCCTCTTCACTGTCCCCTCACGGTTTTAACATTTGTTCCCGTAGGCTTGCTCCCCCTTTCCTCCCTCCGTCTGCTCGTCCCCCCTCTGCAGCTCGTGTCGGCAGCTCTGCTGGAGGTCGTGCAGCAGGGAGCTGTGATGTACTACGGTCTGCTGGAGGAGTTCGTTACCACGATGTCGGAAACGGTCCCTGAACTGCTCACGGACACAGAGAGAGTCGAACTAGCTATGGGCCTGCGTGCAAAGGTGAGAATAAACAGTGTATGAAAGTAGCAAGATACATTTACTCAAGGGCTGTACTTAAGTTACATTTAGTATTTAGTATTTCCATTTCATGCTACTTTATACTTCACTACATTTCAGAGGGAAATAATGTACTTTTTACATCTCATCCACGGTTACTTTGCATATGATTATCAATAAATAATATAAATCCACTAATAAATGATGATATATTATTATATTACTGTGAGGAATTTAAGGTTTAAAGCTCCTAATTATGGATATAATGTGATACAGTATATTTACTTGTAGGAGTCTGGTCATTCATGCATTATAAGTGTCTGTGAGAGGGGGTTTGAGGAATGTGCTGGAGCGGGGGTTGTGTGAAAGTGGCTGCTTGAGGTGTTAAGAGTAACAATGGGGCATAGGCCCAGGTGGGGCTTGTTGGACTTCAGCCAATCAATGAGCTGATCAATGAGCTGAGGAATGAGCTGAGGAATGTAACTCTGGGGGGGACAAAGGGTTTGAAGCGCTGGGGGATTTCAGATCTTCTGCTGGCCACCGAGGAGGCCGACCAGCCTTCTGGGTGGCTCGGATTGGATCTCACCTTTCATTTTATATATAGGTTTGTTTTGTTATTAGTGGTGTGATTCGGTTTGTAACTGTCTGTATCTGTTTTTATGCTTCTTGGATAATAAATCCATTTGATTTTTACTTTAACCTGCTGTTGTGTTTTGGAGGCGATTGAGAGCACATGGCTGTGGGGGGGGGGGATTTCTCCCTGTGTCCAAAAGTTATGGCCATAATATTACCCAGCAGCAGGGGCGTCGTTAGGCCTATTAGGCCTACAATGTTCTTCAGCCCCCCCAAATAATTTGGCATTATTGGCTTAAAAAAAATGTCATTAAATTAAACTATTGTTTCTCACATGGACAAGTTATTTATAACTCTAACATGCTACATATGTGCGTGCGTTCTGGTTTGTATGTTTTCTCCCCCTTCAAATTACAATCCAATAGCCTATCATCATACTTAACGATATAAAGTTGACACTGTCAGATCCATTCTCCATCCATTGTGTGCGGTCCCTTTAAGAATTAGGATTTGGGAGTGACGCGGATATGAAAGCTAGTTTATCCGTCTTTCCTTTACAAGCAGGAAAATTATTTCTATCTCTTTATTTGAGAAAAGTTCATATTTGCGTTGAAATTCTGTCTCTTGTGTTATCATATACTGAATGCAAGCAAAACTACAGAGCAAAATCACACTCTTTCTGATTGAACCAATCTATGAACGGTCTGAAACAATGGATATCCGCGGCCCCAAACGGGCCCCAAAAAAAATTGCCGCACAAACATGCCACTCCCCTTGGGGCTAAGCCCCCCCTTTCTTTGAATCCTAGAAACGCCCCTGCCCAGCAGTATACACAGTAATCCAAATCAGCTCCACATATACCAGCTGCAACATTAATGCATCAACAATTACAATACAGTAATAAAGAATAAAGATTATTGTGAAATGGGACATTCTGCATAATTATAACGCTGAATACTCCAACTTGAATATGATTTGGACACTGTGGTGTTGCTGTTTTAATTAAATTAAAATATCTGATTACTTCCACCACCACTGAGAATAACATCCTAGTTGTCTTGTTAATTGTGGAGTTTTGCTATTAACTTGTCATCTACTGTCTAGAAATATGCTTTAGAGATGAAGTACTTGTCTGTTGTGGAACGTCATTTAGTGAAGTTACACCTACAGTTTTGAGATTCTATACTTGAGTTGTTTTTGTTTGTTCTGCAACTCTACACTTCTGCACCACTACGTTGTACTTTTATACTTCACTGATATATCAACAGCTACAGTTTCTTGTTACTCTTCAGAAAAAAGTAATAATAAAGTTAAACACGAAACCTATCATGATTTTATAAGATATGAATTGTTCTTGATTAAACTGCCCTCCACCTCTACCAGTTATGATAAATAAAGTACTATATTTAATACTATAACACAGGCAAAGCTCATTCTGCCCAATAGTTGCTTTTACTTCTTACATTTAGCTGATAATACCTTTGTATGTTTTTTTGTAATGCAGACCATTGCTACTTTTTTAGAATTAACAGCAAATTAAACTGCATCCTGAAGCACCATAAACACTCCACTTCACCATGCACAGACCCGTACTCTGCTCACACATCTAATCCTTACACACTGTATGGTACTGTTGGGGTCTTGCCGCTCAGGGCCACACCTCCACATGTGAAGAAATTGTTTTTGTCTCTTGATGTTTGAACAGGTGGTGCTGGAGTTGTGCCGCAATGAAGATTTTGCCGGCCCGCAGGCCATCCAGCCTCATCTGAGCAGAATAAACACCCACATTACGAACCGGGATGAAGAGGTGGGGCCTCTTGTTAAACCTCCATCACTCATTGGCTGCGTTCCAAATCGCATACATTCTCTTTTTACTTCTAGTACACACTGCAGCTGCCCTTAAGAAGTACGTGCTGTTGCATGCAGTATGCATACAATTAGGACATACTACTTTGTTATAACATTGCACCTTGAACTTTGACCCTCTTGCTCATATATCTGCTGCACAGAGAGAATTGTGGGTAAAATGCAACCGGATGCATTAAAGGACATCCTGGTATTTTGGCATAATGAATTTGACATAGTAGTTATTGGGACACACTAGGTATTTTTCGAGCATACTAAATTGTATGGTGTTATGGGTATTGGAACGCACCCTATGTTATTTGCATTTACTTATGTGTGTGTGTGTTGTTTTTTTAGACCACCAGCTCTGAGGTAAAATATTCAGTTACAAACTTCCTGAACCTTGTTCACACTCTGATGGAAGATCGATGCCAGAGAGATATCTTTTATCAGGTGAGTTGGTTTGTACTTTATCTTTTAATTATCAAGATTATGTCTCATGAGAAAAATGCTAAAAAACTAATTAATAAAGTCGGTTTCTCAGTTCTTGTCATTATATGCTATTTGATTTTATTCAGGTTGGTTAACTGTCTTGATGATCTCGATCTCTTGCAGTATCAAAGGGGCCTTCCAGTATTTTGTGAAATGTAACAAACACTTTTCCCTTCATTCTGTAGAAAGTCTTTCCGACAGTGTTCGGCCCTCAATATGACTCAGCCCTACAGGCTCTGATGAGAAAGTTCCTCTTCAATCTGCAGAAGCTGCTCCCTGTTCCAGACCTTGAACAAGTAGGTACCTGACAAACAGCAACCCTGGGACAAGTCAAGCAAAAATAACTAACATTTATAACAGTTTCAGGTATGCAAGTAGATATTGCTTTAATATTTGTTAGAACCAATTAAATATTAATATTGTTGCTCCTTCCTACTTGTTCTCTACAGAGCATTCGAGGCAATTTGAGGGACGCTGTTACAATAACAAGGAAATTAACAAAATATATTAACTAAAATGCAAGAATGAGAATAAAATTAAATTGATTTGAGCTTTTCTGCTCCATGTCAAGACTTCCCTTTGGCTCAGTCTCTCCCCTTCCATCTTGAAAGAGTGCGCAGACTTCATGAGTCAACCTGAGCCCCTGAATACGCTTATTCAGCATCACAAACATCACGGCCACCAAGTCCCACAAGGTAATATTATCGCACAATTCCTAAGTGTCTTCCGTGTTGTTAATGTTTCTTCTTTTAGTTCCTGAAAATAATTAGTGTTGTGTTTTGTCTTTCTTTTTCCCAGCCTTGTCCTCCTGCGGTGATGAACGCATCCTCTCCAGCCTGTCCTATCACCTACCAAACAGGGACGAGGGGGAAGCACCCGGCGGGGAGTCAAACAAGGAGAAAGAAGAAAACTTTGAGGAGGTCAATTCTGAACCGATGAGGATTATGGAAAGAAATGGGGGGCAGCATGTTGATGATCTGACTGAAGACCGAGGAGCCTCTGTTGAAGTAATACTCCCACCTTTTGACGACATGGAGTCTGACGATGAAGACGACAAAAAGAAGTCCCGACGTTTGAAAACTGGTGGTAGGACGTCCTCCAAAGCCTCCGAGCGTCTTGTTTGTGACCAGGGTTTTGGTTCCCCGAGCAGACTAAAGAAGCACAAGATTACCCGGAGCGGTTGCTCTGCAAATACGACGAGTCAGCCAGATTCTGCGAGCCAAAGTAGCTTTTTTGAGAAGATCGATTTGCAGGCTTGCGTCGAGAATAACTCTTCTAGAAGTGAGAATGAGCTTTCATCGCGGCCAAGCGCCACAACACATGAGAATAGTCTCCCAAACGACGAGCAGCCTCTCGATGACTCGAGTCTCGTTTGTCATGTTTGCAGCAAGGTTTTCACTTACCCAAAGAATCTTGACAAACACCAGAGGACCTGTGTGGTCAGGAGTAGAAGACGAGCAGATAAGACCAAAGAGTCTTTCTTTATTGAGGCTGAAAATGTTGTTCCTCAGGAATCAATAGCTTCTGACTCGCCACAAGAGCAAACGTGTAAAAGAAGCAGTCGTGTCAAACAGTGCTCCACGTGCGGGAAAGTATTTATTTGTTGTGCCGACTTGACGAGGCACATGAGATGCCACACCGAACAGAGTGCTTACCTCTGTTCTCAATGTGGGAGAGACTGTGACAGCTACGAGGACTGCCAGAAGCACCAGGAGGAAACAAAGCAGCGTTCTCGGGACAGTTCGTCGAGCAACGCGGGGAAAAGGAATCAGGAGGACATCTCAACAGTCCCGGATGCATCTACCAACTCACAGGCTAAGTCCCCCATGACATGTCAGGAGTGTGGCCGGAGGTTTACATACTACAAGAACTTTGAGAAACACCAGAGCAGATGTTCCAAAAGGGCTCCTCGGAAGAAAAGGCAGACAAGCGCAAACCACTTAGTCATCGCCGCTTGCAGTTTCCGACTCGACGCCGACGCCAATGCTGAGGCGAGTTCCGAAACGCAGGAAAGAGGCACGGCAAAAGCTCCCACCTCTCCGGACGGCTCCCAAAGGTCCAAACCTCGCGGCATCAAGTGCGCCCTGTGCGAGAAGAACTTTCCAGAACTCTCCCTCATGAAAAAACATTATTCCAAGGCGCATAAAGTCGAAGGCTCATACCCGTGTCCTGTGTGTAAGAGGACTTTTGTGAGGCTGTTCGAACTGATTCGACACCAGCAAAACAAAAAGCTGTACCAGTGCGGCACCTGCAAGAAGTGCTACGCCAATCCAGTTGTGCTGAACGATCACGAAAAAATACACGCCGTGAGTGTGACGCCACGCGTCTGCGAGACGTGCGGGGAGAGCTTCAAAACTCTGGCCTGTCTGATCCTGCACCAGAGCGAGCACAGAAAGCAGCAGCCCAACGTGTGCTCCTACTGCGGGAAACAGTTCAGCACCAAAGCCTCCCTGAGAGCGCACACGGTGAGGCACACGGTCAGCTACCCGTGCCCCGTCTGCGGGAAGAAGTTCTACCAAAAGACGTACCTCAAGTGGCACCTGTACAAACACACGGGGCGGGAGCCGTACCTCTGCGACACGTGCGGGAAGGGCTGGCCGACCGCGGCCCAGCTCATGGCCCACATGGTCCAGCACACGGAGGAGAGGCCGTACGAGTGCGAGGACTGCGGCATGCGCTGCAAGAGGAGGTCCCACCTGATGGCCCACCGCAGGGCCAAGCACATCGGGCTGCGGCCGTTCACGTGCGAGGTGTGTGGCAAAGCGTTCAGGTTGAACGGCGTGCTGAGAAGACACGCGATGGTTCACACGGGGGAGCGGCCGTTCCCGTGTCCGCGGTGCGGCAAAGGGTTCATGAGAAAGTCCCGCCTGAGGGAGCACAGAGAAAAGGCGTGTGTGTGACGACATGCTGTTCGTGGACTAGCACTGCACTGAAAAACTCTACCAGTGCATACATCAAATACATGTACAACTTCTGTCATCGGCTGTGTCTCAATGCTGTATATGTATGATGACTTTTTTTTTTTTTTTTTCTGTGAACTCTTTTCATTCACTGAGAATGAAAAATGACGGAGCTGACACGATTTGTCAACAGAAAACGACGGGCAACTGTTTTGGAAATTTATCCGTTACTGGTCTACTTTCACACTAGTGGACAGAAAACATCCAAAATACACATACATACGACTATTGTCTATTTGCGTCTGTAGTCTGTTTTTATGGCTATTGTTAACATATATTTTCAGAAGACTTGTAATACATCAAATTACTGTCTCAATGTAAGTAATCAACTTGGGGGAGTTTCATTGTGCTATCTATTAGTTGTTTTTTATATCCTATATTCTCCTGTGGTGACTCCTCTTAAAGGGTTTTACATTAACTGCTCTTCCATTGAAATGTCAGGCTGCGCAGAAACTTTGCGGATGCCCGAAGCAATTATAAGATAAATCGAACCAATATATCCTTTACTTAAGTAAACCACAATGTAAAAACGTCCCATTACAAGTAAAATATATACTTGTGCAGAAGTATCGTCGTCAAACTGCACTTAATGGGCCCCATTAAGAGTTTTATTATATTTTTATTTTGGTACATTTTATTGCATAGTAGTGGTGCATTCACATGTAATCAGTTGTAATCTACCGGTAGATCTATTACCGGTAGATTACAGATACAGTTATGAGCAAAAATAGTTATTTTTTTCCTTATGCAGGTCATAGAGAACATTTCTGGTTGGTTGGGGTGGAGAAGTGAATGGGGCCACATCGGGAGCTATACTGCTGCATCCGTACCAGAAGATTTCAAATGACTCATACACTGTGTGGATCATTATCCAACAGTAATCTGTTGGATAATATCATCAAACCATGGACGACTAATGTATTACCCGATAAATCGTTTCAGCACTAACGTCTGCACACGGATCACCCTGAGCAGTAGAAAAAGCATTGCTCCACCAGAGAGCAGTGGTGCTCCAGGGACAGACCTGTAGTTTATGTGCAGTATCTGTAAATGAATCCGTTCTTAAACATGCTCTTTTCACAGGCCACATGACGTACAACACATTTTCTATGCGAGCGCGTCCAGCTGACAAAATGACTTTTAGAAGTTGTTACGTATGAGAGATGCAACTACTGCTCAGTCTTTCATTAGGTCTGTTGTCTCAAACGTCAGACCTTTCAGAGCCCTCTGTTTAGGATTTCCCCCTCTGCCTGCTAATTAAGAAACAGTGTCGCAGGCGAGGTGGCAGAGGGTGACAGACAGCAGCTTTATTTGGAGGAGGGGGGGGGCGCAGTAGGGATGCAATGACATTTGTGTTAGTCATGTTTAATGAAATAAAACGCGATAAGGGAGAAGGGAACGCTGTATGCTTTGCTATTTCGAGTCTGTTGAGAGGGACAGGATGTGCTTCACTAAAGCACGTTTTGTGAGTAATGCGGTTTGCTTACGTGCTCACAAAAGTCACGCTACTGGAACGCAAGCGAGTGGAAATTGGAAAAAAAACATAAGAAATCCCACAAAATGAGAGCGATCTTCATGTGGGCTCTGCATCGCTCTCTGGTAGGCAGACCGTGCCACTCCTCTGGGACATTCTGGCTGTCTCTCATGTCTGCAGAGAGATTTTGCTCTTGACTGAAACCTCCATCTGTCCCGCTCGCTCTCGATGAACACCACAGTATGATGACTACAGAGATTTATGCCCTTCTCTTGCTTCTGAAGTTCAGACTAATACCTCGTGGTCGCAGGCACAGGTAGCTCCACATTATAGAACATTCCTGATGAGCCATGACTGCTTCTCAGCAGACCATTTTACAATGATCCACACAGTATATGAGTCATTTTAAATCTTCTGGTATTGATGCAGCAGTGGCTCCTGATGTGGCCTCAATTACCTCTTGACCCCAACCAAGCGGAATCCAGACCAAAAACATTCTCTTAGAATATCCATAACCTTCATGAGAAGAAAAACAAACTGTCAGGTTAGTAGAACTCTTTTGCTCCTAATTGTATCAGTCTTGGGGCACCCTGGCAATGTCTCCCCATCTCTCTCTACATTTATATGATTCATTATTTATTTAAATATGAAAACTAAGCATTGTGTGCTTTTTACTACCTGCCAGAAATATAAAATCCTACACATTAAGCCCTTAAGTTTTATGTAATCTATTAGAAATGTGTCTATAGAAGATCAATTCTACATTCTGTACGATTCACTGGAGAGAGGCGCTAATTGTCCCCTTCGTTCGACGTCGTATAGCTTAATTATTCTGCCTCTTTAGATCCTAAACATTTACACATCCATCGTCTATTTGTCTGTTTTTAAGATTGCCGGCATAATTTACCATAATGTTCTGTGTAGAGCACACACTCTACATCTCTGTTTTATATGAAGAGGTTCATACCAAAATAAGGTTTATACAAAAATGAATATTCACTCTTTATAGAATGATGGCAAAACTGAACCGTAGAGTTGGTATGACTAGATGGTAACTAATACAGAAGTCTTAATTCAGTTCTAACAATACCAAATAATGTTTTTCCAAAATGGAAAGTAGCATTTGGATTATAATTTTATTTTTGGAAATGATAGAAATATTGACGAGGGTTTTGAAGTGCGAGAGCCAAAATGTGTCCTGACTTTCATCACATGGTGCAATTTTTGAAGGACTGCCGAGTGGTGCAATGCAGCTTTGATTGAATTGAGTCCCAGCTTTGCAGCAGCGTTGAAGGGATTCTGACTCTGTAAAGTCTCACACTCAGCACAAATGTCCCCAAGAGCCGGTGCACTGCTATTGGTGACGCCAGCAACGAATGCCATTCTGTAGACATTCATTATATCCACATAATGGATGCCCCCAGTTTGTCCCCCAACCTGCCCGACATTATCTTGCTGAGAATATACATTTTGTTGTCATTGTTTAATATTAGAGATGAGGCCCCACCTATCATTTTGTTTTGTCCCCTTGTACCCAACAGAATCCACTGCAATGCTTTAGAGTCAGTCAAACCAGCATGAGGGAGTAGCAGTGATTCAGGCGGAGCGTAATTGATCCTTGGCAATGCTGCCTCTCAGATTGCAGTGGTATCTTTACCCCTCTCACTATAAATACCACCCATGAGCAACGTCGTCATGCCACTTGCTTCAGGCTTTTGAAGAAAAGGCGTTATTTCTCAGCTGCACATCCCTGCCAGGAGCCTTTCCCACATTTCTACATGAGAGAGAGAGAGAGAGAGAGATATAGATATATATATATAGATATATATAGATATCTATATAT